GAGGTTTTTAAGGCTCGACTTGACAAAGCCCTGGCTGTGATGATTTAATTGGTGTTGGTCCTGCTTTGAGCAGGGGGTGGGACTAGATGACCTCCTGAGGTCTCTTCCAATCCTAATCTTCTATGATTCTATGATTAGCCAACAAATAAAACAAAAACACAATATAAGCTTAATATACTAAAGAAACTGGTTACAAGTAGTAATTTCTCACCCTAAATGTTGATTTAGGCAGATTGCAGAGGTTCTTGAAAGCAGCTGCTCTTGCTTGCAGTTTAAAACTCCAGGTATTTCTTTCACAGGTTAGACACCTTATCAGCCTGGGCTCAGCCCTTATCCCCCCCTTTATTTTTGTTCCTTAGATGTTTCCAGCAGTCATCCTGGGCAGGGATTCAGTGAAGAATGAACCCCGATTATCTCACTCCCCTCCCTTAAATAAGATTTACATATGGCAGGAATCCTTTGTCTTTCAGTGTGATTCCCATCCCCCTCAGTGGAAAAATACTGGTGTTTTATCATGGAAACCAGTACCAGGTCACTTGAACACATGACCCTGTAGTGTCAAAGCAGCCATAAGTTAGAGGCAATTTGTAGCATCCCTGGAAAGCTTCCCAGGAAGGTGAGAGATTAGCATCTTCAAAGACCTATTGTTCTTCCTAATGATCCATAGACTTGTTCCCAGCTAGCCGGCCAGACTGATTGCATTCTGTCTGGTGGGCATTCCCCAGGTGCAAACACTTTTGTAGTACAGATGTATAGTAAGTATTGCTAACTTTAGATACAACAATGATACATGCATGCAAATAAGCTAATCATATTCAGTAAATCATAACCTTTCTAATGATACCCCACATAATCCTAATGTATTTTATGTAAAATAGGTTATGACACAATCATATCATACTATTAATATGAAAAATATGGGAAGCAGTGTCACAGTTATATCTCCAGCTGATCTACATTGTCATAGCTTGATTGATATCAATGCAGCTACACCAGTTTACACTCGATGATGATCGGGCCAGGTTACATATAGAACTGCAGCAGGTTTTTGTCTGAAGCATCCCAACACATAGGAAACCAGTATGAATTGTATGATTCACATGCACATATATGGTATTCTTCAGATTCAGCTCCAGTGTCTCTCTCTTTGTCACCACAGCAGATGACATATTCTGAGAGAGAGCCTGATGAGAACCAGACCATTTCTGATGTGTTCATCCTGGTGGGGTTTTCGTACCTTACCAGACTCCAAATCCTTCTGTTTCTGGTGTTTCTGGTCACCTACCTGGTCACCCTGGTGGGGAACCTGCTCATTATCCTCCTTATAAAGCTAAACACATCACTTCATACCCCCATGTATTTCTTCCTGCTGAACCTGTCCTTCTTGGAAATCTGCTACACCACCAGTGTGGTCCCTCAGCTGCTGGCTCACCTTCTGGTGGAGCAAAAGACCATCTCCATTGCGGGCTGCGCTGCTCAGATGTATGTCTTCACCATCCTGGGCCTCACAGAATGCTGCCTCCTAGCAGCCATGGCGTATGACCGCTACATAGCCATATGCAACCCCTTGCACTACAGAACCATCATGAGTGGTCGGGTGTGTGCACAGCTCGCAGCTGCTTCATGGACCATCGGCATCTCGATGGAAGTAGCTCAGACCACGTGGATCTTCAACCTGCCCTTCTGTGGCTCCAACCGCATCCACCACTTCTTCTGTGACATCCCACCGGTGGTGAAGATGGCATGCACGGACACATCCAAAATCGAAATTGTGGTCTTGGCTGTGTCGGTGCTGTTCATCATGAGCCCTTTCCTGCTGATAATCCTGTCCTACATCTGCATTATCTCCACCATCTTCAAGCTGCCGTCGGCAGAGGGAAGGCGTAAAGCCTTCTCCACCTGCTCCTCCCACCTCATGGTGGTGACTTTGTTCTATGGAACGGCCCTTTTCACCTACCTGAGGCCCAAGTCTATCTCCACCCCAGAGAGTGATCAAATGATTTCCCTCATGTACACAGTTGTGACCCCAGTGTTGAACCCCATAATATACAGTCTGAGGAACAAAGAGGTGAAGGGAGCCTTTAGAAAAACAATAGAAAAGAGCATCTTTTCACACAACCGGAGAAATCAGAGAATGAAAGATATAGTTAGTTAAAACAGGGGGAATGAGGGAAATTCATAAACATTTTGTTGAATTTCTCCCAATGACCCTCACTTTTTTAATTGGAATTTTGCCATTTGAAAAAATTTGACCTGTTCTAAACCTGTTGGGAAAATGGGCAGAGAACCTTTTTTAAATGAAATAAATAAATAAATAAATAAATAAAACTTTCGTCAGACTTTTGATAGTCAGAACCTTTTGAACAGATGTAAAGTCCATTGAAAAATCAAATGAGAATCTTTAGTCAAAGTAGTATCCTGATTTTACATCTTCAAAATTTGAGACATTTAACATTCATAAAATGTTCACCTTGGTTTGTTGAAATTTCACCAAAATTTTAATACTTGAATAATTCCAACCAGCTGTACAGAAAAGTCCATTTAGACTTCCCCTTTTCCTGCTCTGGCTGTCCAGTGCAGCATTTTAGGTTTTAGGTTGGGTTGGGGTTTCTTGGCTGTCGAATGCATTTTGCCAGTGCTCCCTCTGGCCTAATTTTAAATAACATGCCTCAGCTCTTATGCAGGCTTCCTATATAAGACACTGATAGATTTTTCAATGCCTAAGCTGATCAGGTCACACAACAACTCTGGGAGAAGGCTCTTTCTTGACTTCCATGGCATTTTTTACTAGCAGATCAGATTGTAAGATTATGGTGTATATCATAGATTCATTGATTTTAAGCTAATAAGGGACCATTTTGATCATCTAGTGTGATATCAGCAATTTCCAGGGAAGTCCAGCATTGCCAGTTTAGCCTGGAGCTGGAGCACACTCTGTGGGGATGGATAGGAGCTCTAAGCCCGGAACTCTAAGAAGCATCTATTGAGCATGTGGCAACTGAGATTTTCCCAAATGCTCATAACTTGGCCAAGTCTGGGTGCTGTTTCATGGAACCAGCAAAAGGTGCATCCCTGACACCAGGGTGGCCCCCCTCATATTTAATTTGTCTGCTTCAATGCCTACCGGTGCTAGAGTGTCCAAAAAGAGAATTCTTCCCCTTTGTTAACACGGGGGAACCAATGTATTTTCCCATAATCTCTCCCTTGGAAATGACTGAACCTTTTTTTTGTGGAACTCTTAAGAAAATTTTCTACTGAGGCAGACACCCAACATGAAAAATTTCAGCCCAAATGGTTAAAGTTTTAAGAAGTTATAAGGAATTAAAAACGGGGTCTTGTAATGCAAAGTATTGGGTAACCTCATTTATAGGGTTTTCTCCCACTGGCACCTATAATATATCTTGTCTGGAGTCTATCTAGATATATAGATTCTAAGGCCAGAAAGAACCACAGTGATAATCTAGTCTGATCTCCGGTATAACATAGGCCATAGAACTTCCCCAAAATAATTTCTAGAGCATAACTTTTAGAAAAAAACATCCAGTCTTGATTGGATCCACCACGTACCTCAGTAATTTTTTCCAATGGTTAATTAAAAATGTACAATTTATTTCCAGTCTGAATTTGTTTAGCTTCATCTTCCAGCTATTTGGTAGACAAGTCCCAAGTATTTTCAAGTAATATCATCTTCCCCATGTCTTCCATATTTTTTTTGTTCTGTGTTTAATTAAGCTATAGATCATAAACTGCTCAGAGAATGATTTTGTTCCCTTATCTTCGATATAAATTTCCATGTATGGTGCAATAATGTAGAAGAAAGAAAGAAAGAAAGAAAGAAAGAAAGAAAGAAAGAAAGAAAAGTTTGTTTGTAATTGACAATAAAATAATTCAAGTATTTCTGTCTCTAAGGAAAGAATTTTTATCACCCAAAGGCAGTTGAAATGTTCTGTAAATAAAAAGTAACTTGATCAAGTACAATTATTTATTGTTTGTCTCTTCAGGACCAAAACAAAATATTTGGTGGTCTAGAAAACAAATTAACAACATAAGCAAGCAGCATAGCATTTAAGGCCAGAAGCGACCATCAAATCATCTAGTCTGACCTCCAGTATATCACTGGCCACTACCACCATCCAGCGCCCTCACACCCATCCAACAACTTAAATTAAACCAAATTATTTTTGCTTTTCCTTTGGACCTGAAGGGAAAGAGCCTGAGGTTCCAAGAAACTTGTTCAAATAATAGATGGTTTTAAAGGTCAAATCTGATATTTTCAAAGCCAGCTAAGGGATTTGAACAATCAAATGGAAACTCAGTGCCCAGGTTGCCTAAGGATACAAATAAGCACCTTGTAGGATTTTCAAAGCACCTAACCAGATCTAGGACCAGATTTTTAAATGCATTCAAATATACAGAAAGGTTTTTAGTGAGGTGGGCTTTAGTCATCTGAATGATTTTGAAAAATCCCATTAATAGCCCATCTGCGTTTTAAGTGCCTATGGGCCCTAATCTTTAATGGTATGTAGGTGCCTAATGATCACATAGGTGGCTAGAGGGATTTTCAACAGTGCCTAGCACCTAGCTCTCATTTAATTGAAATAATGTGATGTCTAACCTCCTTAGGAATCTTTCTAAATCCCATTAGGTGCATATCTGCATCTGTAGGCACCTAAATACTTTTGAAAAACTGGTCTTTAGGGTCAGACCAAGTACTCACTAAAGTCAATAGAAAGACACCTGATGAGCATTAGATTTGGCTCTTAAGTGATGCATTGTGGTAACCATCTGCATTTGTGGGGGGGGGGTGTAGCTCAAGGGAGCACAATGGTAAGAGCTCAGAGCTCAGCTATGCTGCCATAATGTATTGTGTAGACGCTACCCAGAAGAAACCACAGCAATGGAAGGGGTTCTTCTGTCAGTGTCGTAACTCCACTTCCCCGAGCAATGGTAGTTAGGTTGATGGAAGAATGTTCCTCCCTTCTCCAACTGCCAGGTTTTCCCCTCTGCGTCCTCTCCTTCCTGTACCAGGGGCAGGGGGGAGCTCTACGAGGGAATCTTTCCCCCTCTTTTGGGTCAATTCCATGGTTTGCTGTGTGCGGTTCCTTCATCCTCCACCCCCAGAAATTACATTGTGTGTGTGGGGGTGGGTGGGTGCGGGCATGGTGGTGTGTGGATGGTGCCACAGATCCACCGCAACCCACAGGTCCTCACACCATTCACAGCCCCGTGGGTATTCCCCTGTTTTTCCCTCTTTCCTTTCCATCAGGAGCTCGGCGTTGGTCCTGGCCCTCTCCTGGACACTTAGGGCTTCCTGTCCTGCAAGCTCGTCCAATGGGGCCTGGGTCTCTTCCTCTGGGGGTCAGCTAATAAGGGCCTCTGCCGGGCCTTGCTCTCTGGTCAAGGACCCTAGGGTGGACATCTCATCCATAACTTCCCTCTCCCTTCTCAACCTCTGTTGTCTAGGGGTTTTCTGCTCGGGGATCTCTACCCCTGTCTTCAGGAGATCTCTCCTTTTTCTTCTCTTGGGCTTTATCCCTCTGCCAACCTTCCCTCCTGGGAAGGGGTCCCAGTCCATACCCACCACCACTGGATAAGTTAGGCCCTTTACTACCTTGACCTGTTGCCACTTATACCTGCCCCAAACTTCAAGGGGCACCTGGGCCATAAGGTATTGCCTCCTATCCCTGTGGATGCATTCTACATCAATCTTCGCACCGGGAATCCACCAGTGTGACCTCACCAGCTTCCTTTGTACCAGACAGCAGGCCAAGGCCGAGTCCACCAGGCCTTGCTGGGGTTTCCACTTCACCATTACTGGAATGGTGGATAGCTTCTGCCCCTTTCCCTGCGTTCCAGCATTTTCCAAGCCACAAAACTCCACCCACCCACAATCCATGTGCAGGCAGTTCCCCTTCTTGTGTCCTGGTCGTCCGCACTGCCAACAGACCACCGGTCTGGACCCCGTGGGATCCCCTCGGGTGTCCTCCCATTTTTTCTCCAGGCCCTTCCCCGATGGAGGTTCTCTGGGCCTTCTCCCCATCTCCACTTCCTTGCTCTGCCATCTCTCCTTCCTGGGGAAGTCCTCCTCTGTGTACTCCTCCATAAGCTTTACAGCCACCTTGACTGTATTCGCTTGGTGCCTCCTCACCCACAGCTTTATGTTCTTCGGGAGGCCCTGTAAAAGCTACTCTAGGAGGAGCACATCCATGATCTCCCCCACTATCTGAGCATCTGGCCTCAGCCAGTGGGTTGCCCAGTCCATTAACTTTTGGGTGAATGCCCAGGGCTGCAAGCCCCCATCCACCTCACTGAGGGAATTGGTTGATGTGATTGCAGAGCCATTGGCCATTATCTTTGAAAACTCATGGCAATCGGGGGAGGTCCCAGACTATTGGAAAAAGGCAAATATAGTGCCCATCTTTAAAAAAGGGGAAAAGGAGAATCTGGGGAACTATAGACCAGTCAGCCTCACCTCTGTCTCAGGGGGGTAGCTCAGATGTTTGAGCATTGACCTGCTAAACCCAGGGTTGTGAGTTCAATCCTTGAAGGGGCCATTTAGGGATCTGGGACAAAAAAAAACTATCTGGGGATTGGTCCTACTTTGAGCAGCAGGTTGAACTAGATGACCTTCTGAGGGCCCTTCCATCTGTGATATTCTATGACCTCAGTCCCTGGAAAAATCATGGAGTAGATCCTCAAGGAATCCTTTTTTAAGCACTTGGAGGAGAGGAAGGTGATCAGGAACAGTCAACATGGATTCACCAAGGGCAAGTCATGCCTGTCCAACCTGATTGCCTTCTATGATGAGATAACTGGCTCTGTGGATATGGGGAAAGTTGTGGACGTGATATACCCTGACTTTAGCAAAGCTTTTGATACGGTCTCCCACAGTATTCTTGCCAGCAAGTTAAAAAAAATGGATTGAATGAATGGACTCTAAGGTGGAGAGAAAGCTGACTAGATTGTTGGGCTCAACAGGAGTGATCAACGGCTCCATGTCTAGTTGGCAGCCGGTATCAAGCATAGTGCCCCGGGAGTCGGTCCTGGGGTGGTTTTGTTCAACATCTTCATTAATGATCTGGATGATGGGATGGATTGTACCCTCAGCAAGTTCGCGGATGTCACTAAGCTGGAGGGGAATGTAGATACGCTGGA